TGGGACGTTTTGCTGTACGTGATATGAGACAAACGGTTGCCGTCGGCGTTATCAAAGATGTTGACAAGAAAGCAGCAAGTGCGTCGAAAACAACAAAAGCAGCAGTAAAAGCTGACAAAAAGAAATAAATCTCATGATGGCAATATAGGACGACAACAATAAGCGCTACGTTTTTGATAAGTTTCTGTCTTGTTACGACTTTTTTGTTATAATAATATCTTTCATTAAGCTAAACGTAAGAATCTTTGTGTTTTTCTTGTTGAGCAACGGTGATTTTTCCTCAGTAGTTGGAAAATGTCGTTTTTTTTTTCTTTTTATTACTGTTATGGTTATCTCGTTGTGTTGAGTGATGAGTAAGAAAGGACGATGTTGTTCTAATTTACATAGTGAAAATCATTTCGGCCAACAGCTAGTCTTTTATACTTGAGTGTTTATAGTTGTTTGTAATATCAACTTTTGTCCTTTTCTATCTGTTTCTGATCGAGAGTTTGTCTGTTTTTCTCTTTTAAAATATCATCTCATCCAGAGAGCGGAAATAGAACAAAAAATTGCTGCTTCTCAGAAAAATAAAATAAAATATTCGAGAACTCAAACGATAATGACATTGTTCAATACAAACAAAGTCGAAAGAAGTGGACGGATGTATATGGATGAGGGTATTTTTACGGTTCATTTAATAGAAAAATCCCACGACAAGTACAAACCCATCAAGACAAGAAAAATGAGCTCATCGCTACAAACTAAGTTTTCATTCCTAAAGCTTCATGGCTTCCCAAACATTCGCATTGCAACTACAGGGCATAAACTTTATTCGATCTTTTTTTGTGGCCTTTATGGTGATGCTCTATCATAGTGAAACATACTTTAACGCGGTCTTACAAAAATATTTTTAACTAGCACCCGGCGCTAAATTTTACTTTTAATCATTAATTTGCTATGTCAACGTCTGTTTATATAAACAGCTGCTGAAGAATAGCCAATTAATTCTACAGAAGATCTGTAAATGCAGTGTATTACAGTGGGGAATTTTCACTAGGTACGTGGACATCAGGTTTTAAATAAGTTCACGAAACTCAAAACACTCTTTTTATTGGTTTTCTAATGTGCTCTTTCAAATGGAACACTTTTCAGAGCTCAAAAACCCGCCAAACCGGTTTTTCTAGAAATCACTGGGTTTCCAAAGACCAAAACGGTTTAAAAAATGCATATTTCCTCGAGGAAAGAATTGTTCATACGTTTTCGAGTATTCTGACTTCAAATCTAATAACAGAAAATGCTTTCAGAACGTTCCAGAAGGGTTTTTCAGAGAGGCGGGTTTCTGGAAAACCCTTTTGTTCGGAAAATACAAGATAACTCCTTTTATAGATTATTTCACATGCCGATTGCAATAAGACTGATTAAAAACTCGTCACTATTCTGCTTAGGGCCCATCATCACCTCTTGGCTGTTTTTTTGTTTTGTATTAGCCAAGTTCCTCAGCTACTGCACATTCTAGAGCGGCAATTTGTTTCAGCGGTTTTTTGCAGGTGTCGTTAACATAATTTTTCCCGTAGTTTAACATCATTGTGGCTGGTAGTGCACGAAAACGCTCTGAAACGTTAGCTTTTTAGAGCGTTTCTAGAGAACCACGATCAGCACCACGACGGTTACAAATTTTCTACTCCAACAGCATTGAAAGACACAATATTCGATGCAGTTTTTTGCGTTGATTCCGAATCTCACCTTATTTTTCAATAAAAATGTTTCTTGAGTGAAAAAAACGGAAACTAAGTGGACAACCGAAGTGTTTTTCGAAAAAAGATAGAGCATTTGCTGAAGTATATGACCTGCTATTTGAATCTTGCAAAAGTGCATTTTTGTTTTTTGTCTAATGTCCACGTTGTTCCCCACGGTGTATTAAATCGAATGTTATGAATATACTAGTGAAAGTTTGTTTTTCTTATTTCAGTCCTATTAACGATCTAGGTTAAGAACCAGCAATTGGATTATCGTAGTTTTGCGAGCTCTTAGACATTTTTGATTGGAAAAACTTGCTATTGTACATGATCGCAGATCGAACGCTTTTTACCTGCTGATGTCAGAGCTAAAATATGGAGAATTTCATTATCACGTCGATTATTGAGGTACAAATCTTTTCTTTAATCTAATAAAATAAACTTTCCTTCCGAAGAGGAGACATAATACGAGCTTCACTGACTCTTGAAGTACAAGTTATCACGCAAGCAATCCTCTAGCTCGCTTTGTCGTTGAAAAGCAGTAAAGGTAGTGAGAGTATGCTCTTGTCAGATACAAATTTAAAGGCGGAAGACCAATGATTTTGAAAAGGTAAGTCTATTCTATACGATTATTCTTTGAAAAAGAACATATGCCGTAATAGTCATCGTAATGCGTTGAGAAATCATGTGATTATCTGACGTATTTGTTTGATATGCTGGTCAAATCTTGTATCTTCTCCAATATTTCCGGTAGACGGACAAGCTTTTGATCTCATCTGATAAGCTCAGCTTTTATTTCAACATTTGACGGCACTAGGAGTCCGAAAAACTAGAAGGCGAATTAATAGCAATTAATCGGTGAGTTTTTAGTTTAACAGTCAGCTGTGCTCCTCGGTTCAGAGCTGGCTCAAACCGAAACAACGAGTCAGCTCTGAGGAAACTACAGAGAATACTCTTGGCAACTCCGTTTTAAACTAAACTAAAAAGATAATCTAAAAAGAAGAACATTTCTCGTTAAAATTGTGTTTCTTATATACTTACTCTACTGCAGAATAAAACGGTGAATACCAAAAAGCCATCTGATGGCTTAGAGTCTAAGTATTAGACTCAACAATTAACTGCAATTAATTGACCATCATTAAAAAAACAGAAAAATCACCAGGAGCGCTCGCTAATTAATCATAATTAATTTGCGATGTTTTTAAAAATGGCAATATATCGGTGATTTTTAACAACTGGCAATTTTTCATGCAAGCCGATTAATCACCAGTTGTTAAAAGTCGCCGATATATCGCAATTTATAGATGATTAATTGGCGATTTTATTGCTAATCGCAAGTAATTGCCCAGAATGGAGCGATTTTAACGGCATAGGAACAATTTGAGTAGACTTTGAATGTTTTAGTAACCAATATCTGTTTCAATTCTTGTCTGAGATCATTAAAAAGTAGATTATCAAACAATAAAAGATCGAAAATAATTCGAATAACTAACATAATATTTTTCTGTATTGTTTTTGCACGAAAATGTAATGACTTTTGTTCACTAGAATGTTATTCGCCTGCACCATGCGTTCGTGTGATAGAGATATAATATGGTACTTATAGTATTCTTTAACCAAGTAGAGGAAAATTAAGTTTTCTGGTTTTGTTTTCTCTTATCAGTTTTTGCAGTATTAAAGGAAGAAATTGCATTAACATTTGTAGCAAAAGATGTTTTCTCATAATGACATTATGCTCTAAGAAAATCTGCAAAGTAGCGCCAAATAGTGTAGCTCTGTCTGCATATTTGTGACTGTTGAAGAAATTTTTACGTTCTCTCAAGATGCTCTCGGGAAATTTAGGTCAAATTGTTGTTGATGGCACAGGCCCTATCTCTCTCTGTCCAAAACATGTTATTCGTCATATCAAAGATCAAAGTATCATACGTGAACTTGCCTTACATTCTTCACTAAAAGTATTTATTCGTGGTGCAACATCGCCGCATCTTGAATCTGGTGTATTATTACCCTACACAGAGATATGTACAAATCCGTTAGAAAGATTATCTTCAACAAATTTACTACTATACACATCATTTTCTAATGATAATATTCGCATGCTATTACGTTCAGCCGTTGAAAATGGTGTTCAAAGTTTTCATTATGCTATTCAAGATTTCAAAACTACTTATTCAAAAACGTACGTGAAACAATTAGATAAACCCGATACAAATAATAATACGTTGTTATGGTATTTGGCTGTAGCTAAACAATATGAATGTATCCAAGAATTGCATAAGTATGTATCAAAGATTAATGTCAATTGTGTAAATGGATCATATCAACAAACTATTCTTCATTATATAACGTCAACAGGCACTCTGGAAGGACTTAATATTGCCTTGCAAATTGGTGTTAATACAAGTATTAAAGATTGTCTAGGGAGAACCGCTCTACACTATGTTACATTATGTAGAGAAGAGACAAGCAGCGTAGATGTAGCAAAAATTTTAATCGAAAATGGAACATCACCAAGGTTAGAAAATTCTCTACACAAATCGTGTTTAAATGATTGGTTTTGAACACTAAAATCTTCTATAAATTTTCAGATAATTTATTTTCGAAATATCGCATAACATCAGGATCTGAAATTTTCATAATGAAGAATATACTAGAAAAAAATAGTTAAAAACCTTATCGATTTTAAAATATTGCGAAAATTATCTAAAATATGTACTAAACGTCTTTTATTGACTTTCAAAAATTCATTTTTCGTCTACTTCTAGTGACTATGATTATATGCGTCAAACTTGTCTACATTTTGCATTGATGAAAGAAAAATATGATTTAGTTGAATATTTATTAACATTGGACAATGTAAATATATGTACACGTAATAAACATGGTTATACATCACTGGGATACTTATGTGAACAATTGCTATCAATACCAGATATTTACATTGAGAAAAACATTGGCAATAGTCAAAAATTAAATCGGTTACTATCGATTATTGATATATTTGTTGAACGATATCCAAAAGATGAACTGTGGCAAGCATTTCACATTTACAACGATTGTGATCCAGATAAAACTTGCAGAAGAACATTAGAAAAGTCATTGACATCGGAAAATAATGTAAAAGATTTATTTGGAGAAAATTTACTAATGCGTTTATATTCAAAGTTACTTTATTGTAAACAAACAAATATTTTAATAAAATTAGGAACAATATTGAATATTCATAATGATAACTATTGTCATAATGATCGAAAATTATTTGTGCAACGTTTATTAGAGCTAAGATTGTGGGAATTAGGTATGATATAGCTCTAATTATAGTTTCTTACAATAGATCGATACTAACCTTTTTTAGGTATTCATTATCTATGTGATACCGATGGTGTTAATTTACAAAAAGTGTTAACCTATTTTGTTGCCTATGATCCACATGCTGTAAATTCATCTAAAAATACTCATGATTTATCATTAGTTTGCATATGTTTATTTTATGCTCTGGTCACACTCACTTTTTCGTTCTCATTTGAAAACATCGTTCCAATCTCTTCATTTATTAAACAACAGAAATCATACTATTATCATTTAATTCATACTAAAACAACTATAGCCGAAGACTCTGTTCAATATCCACATACTTTGCCAGCTTCAAATCAGTTTAATCGATCTTTGGATATGTCGAATCATCAACAATTCCCTAGTATTCCACAACGATTGTCAGGTAAACAACGAGACACATTCACACATCATGCGACACATAAGAAAAAACCATCATCGGAAGAACAATCTCCATCAGTCGATATAAACACTATAAATGTTGTTAGAGATCAAAAAAATGAGAGTAGCAGAAATTTGAAAATTATTCCATCATTAAGTGGTGGGTCAGACATTACAGATCAAATACAAATGTTAGGTAGCAAAACAACAGAATAAATTCGCTTCATACTTTGCTCAGTCAGATCCAATACTAAATTTCAATTAACGTTTAAAATTACATCACATACTAGTAATATCTTTATTTCAGATTCTACACACAGTATCGATAAGAAAAAATATTATAAGACGATTAAAGTTCCAAATAAAATTCGTGACTCAATTACTTTTTCACCCAAATGTGATTGGTATATGACAAATAATGTTATGCATAGTCAATATGTGACTATTGCTCACACTTGTTTACATTATGCTATTTTTAACGTTTTTTCATTGAAACAATGTTGTCGTTTTACAATTCGAAAATTATTATGTACAAATATTCTACAAAAAGTATCTAAATTCTATGATATGTTATCACCACAACTCATTCTATATTTGAAATATCATGAAATTTTATTATTGTATCCAAGAACACGAAAAAAATTAAATTTACAATTAGTATTTTATCTTATAAAACGCTTATATAATATACAAAATTCATTTGAAGAAGATATGTTTGGAAATTGGAGTATGGATGTTAAATTTCCAAGTTGGATGAAACAAGAGGAAGAGGATATTGAACAAAATGTTAGAGATATTGATGAGCGTGAGACAGACGAAAAAAGTAAGTATATTCACTTAGTTCAACACGTTTATTGAAGCAGTTTCGCAACTTTTTAAGATATTTGAAGAACGTTTTTATTTTATTTTTTAACCTTTATAGGAGACAGAGAAACACGTATATCCTCAGTGGAGTCAGTGACGTCATTTGAAAGTTTCCATGTGGATATTCCTGTAACACAAGTTAGTTTACCACCTGAAGAATGTCGAGAACAATCTATTGTTGAATTTACATTAGCGAAAGAAGAATCCAACTTTGATACATTTGCTTCCCTTAAATTATCAGCATCGGAAATATCGTACTCATTAAAGCTTGATGTATTGGAAAAAGAAAAGGGGAAAATAGCAACAACAGATCTGTTACCCGATGTACCATCACCAAAAAGTGCCTCGGTATACGATGACCAACAATCATTGGTAACCGATAATGAGATTGAAGATAAATATGACAGACGCGATAAAATCATAACTAAAATAACAGCAAGAAACGCAGAGCGCGAGCCTGTACGAAAAACTTTAGAAGACGAACCTAGCAGACAACCACTAATACAAAAGGAAAAGACATTGCGGAAATCGTTAGATATAGCACTAAAAGATTTGGAAAAAGATGCGACAATGATTGAAGGCTTGTTAGCTAAATTTTTAAAGAGTGATGAAGAACAGATGCAACAAGACATAATATCAACGCCAAATACAAAATCTGAGAGATAAAAAAATACAGGAGGGGCCGTGTAGCCTAAGGAATCTCTCCATTCTTATTTTTGGCTCTAAATGATTCTCTGAAAAGCGAAAAAGTGCAAATACTTCATTTTAAGCGCTTTTGAGTAGTTTTCGTCTTACTAGTTCAGGTAGTATGTCGATTCGGAGACTGACATTGACCAGTACCATTAGGATCCTTAGCATGCATTTTTGCCTGAAGATACCAAAGTCTGATTTCTAGGTGAAAATATGAAGTTCCAGAAAGGAACTAAGACTTAGACCTTTATTTGACAACAAAAAAGTAAAAAGAACCAATACAATAAACTAAAATCAAAAGAGGTTGTTGCAGGGGAAAAACAGAAAAAGCGCATACTGCCCTTATTAGACTGTGACCCTTCTAATTTTGACAAAGAAAATAAACAAAAAGAACGAGAGAAAGATAAAGAATTAAAGCTCTAAGAAGTTCTTTAGTCTGTGCTTGAACAAACTTATGCTGTTAGCTGTAACAACGTGCTCTGGTAAGCCATTCTACTCAATTACCGTTCTGTGAAAAAAGGAATACAGGGTGGTATAGGTTTTGAAAATATCAGCCACCCTAACTGCTATAGAATGGTTTAGCCTGCCAGAATGCCTCATTGGTATGATACTGAATAAGATTGAGATCCGAAAGAATGGAATGATTGTGGAGAATCTTATAAAAACGAAGCAATCTGAAGTAATTACGTCTTTTATATAAATCTGGTAAATTTACATATTAAACATTTGAGCTTTAGATGAGTCAGTTGATGCAACGATATTACTCTCCGTTCTGCATAAATTTATCGGTAGATCATTTCCTCCCGAACGAACAAGGTTTATTCCGTTCCAAAACTTTTGAGGACTTTTAAACTGTTCTGACAGTTTTGTTAGATGAGTGCGTTTAGATTTACGTAATTCATATGAGACTTTATTACGTAATTTATTATAAGTACTCAATAACGATGGGGAAAAGAGTTTTTGAAGTCTACGAAAACAGATGTCACGCTTTCTCCGAACTGTAGAATATTGATTACTTAGGCGGTAAGGAAGAATAGGACGTTGCTTTCGACATTTTAAGGGTACCCCTCCTCTCTTTTTGGGCTTTCGGTAGAAATGCTGTGAAATAAAAACTAAAAGTCGCTAGGGCTTCGCATTTTCAGAACTGATCAGAAGCTCAATGGAACACTTTTTCGTTGTTGTTTCAAGTTTTCAGGTATTACCGTTCACCAGTTTTTCAGAAAACTCGGTTTTTCATTGTGCCACATTACGACCCTCCTTACATTTCATCCGATCGAGCTCAAAATTTTACCGTATTTTTTTTTAGGTATTCAAGGTCATTCCGCAGAGCTAATTTTTTGGAATTTTTTTCCAGACCTTTCCTAGTCGAGTTATAGGAAAAACACTGAAAAACGTCTCAAAAACCAAGTTTTGCAATTTTGGAAATCCTATAACTCGGTAAAGAAAAGTCTAAAATAAAATTCCAAAAAAATAGCTCTGCAATAGTGTCTTAAGTACCTATGGTAAAATTTTGAACTCGATCGGATGAAATTTAAAGGGGGGTCGTAATGTGGCACAATGAAAAACCGAGTTTTCTGAAAAATTGGTGAACGGTAATACTTGAAAACTTGAAACAACAACGAAAAAGTGCTTCATTGAATTTCCGATCAGTTCTGAAAATGCGAAGCCCTAGCGACTTTTAGTTTTTAGTTCACAGCATTTCTACAGAAAGCTCAAAAAGAGGGGAGTACAAGAGTAAAATACATTCTAATTCAGAACAAGATGCTACAATTGAAAAAGAAATAGAAATAGGTATATAAGTAGCTAAACCTCCTTTAGGGTTGTAATCACTTGTCCTAACTCTGTCAAGCCTTACAACAGTAAAACCCAGAATACTAACCTCACTATCATCAATGTCGTCAGTAAGAAAAGTCTCTTGGAGAGTCACAACAGAAGAAAGATTTTTTGACAAACAAAGTTTTAAACTATCGAGGTTTCCTCGTAGCCCTTCAGTATTGTGACAGATGATATTAAAAGGTAAAATGCTTGAGACAGGAGAACTAGAAGATGAGGAACAGCTACTTACATCATCGTTAAAAACGCCGTTTTAAATACTTATTCATCGAGCTAGTCAATTCCTTTGTCCCAGACGAATTTAAGTGAATACCATCACGTAAAAGCATTTTATCAGTATAACGGACTTTAATCACATCAATATAATCATCAGCCAACGACGAAAGACGTGCGTTAAATTCATCCGTATCAGCGTTAACTTGATCAATTGTTGGCTTTAGACCGCTAACACGTATATGTGGCAATGTTGTTAATGCTAATTTTGTATTCGGATAAGCGAGTTTAAATTCTCGAATTAAGTTTGCTGTTTTCTCAATAGCCACATCCGGAGTATCATATTTCATATTGACAGTGCCAATACTCATGAAAAAACCTTGCGATTTATCAGAATGCTTCCATTTGACGAGTATATGATAAGAATCCTAATGGTACTGGTCAGTGTCAGTCTCCGAATCGACATACTAACTGAACTAGTAAGACGAAAACTACCCAGAAGCGCTTAAAATTAAGTATTTGCATTTTTCGCTTTTTAGAGAAGCATTTAGAGCCAAAAATAAGAATGGAGAGGTTCCTTAGCACGACCCCTCCTTTCTTTTCATGCAAAAAAGTATCTGATTTTTCTGCAACTGCTTGATATCGCCGTCAGTATGTAAACGAACTTGGTTTGCCACCAGTTCAAATTTGATGACAAAGTTAATACTTTCAGTAAGAATAAAGTTGCATTGTCTTTGTGTTCCCACTACAGGTGTAACTTTAATCATCAATCGGCGCCAGACGAAAAATGCTCAGTCTTATTTACACGAATTATTGTTTTTGTTTACTTATGTTAAATTAATTGTTTTTATAAATGATCACTAATTGATTTCTTGTTAGAAAGGACATTTTAGTCAAAAGTTTTGAAACTCTTATGAATTCTTCCAATGACCGCTAAACATAGCCAGGTATTATGCGAACCAAGTCGCATTGATGATCCATCTGAATCACGAGCATCATTGAAAAATGCACAAGAAGCTCTCAAAGATATTAATGAACTCAACAAAGAGCATAAAAATTTCGATCTCGAAACAAAAGATATCGCTCAACAGCGTATGTCGTTGAAAACTGCAGAAGAATTTATCAAGAAATTAGATGAAAGAGAAGGAGTAAGAAATTCAAGGATTTTATCACCAACTTCTACCCAAAATATTAAAAATCAAGTGTCAGAGAGTAGAAAATCAGAGATGAAAATAATTCAAGAAAGCAAAGAACAAAAAAAACAATTAAATCAAGAACATCAGATAAAATCCAAGAGAATATCAAAACAACGAAGACAGATGCAAAATATAAAACAGCAGCAATACCAGGATGAAAGACGACACCAAAAAATTGAACAAGAGAAACGACAAGCTAAGAGCACGAGTGGTAGTCATAGCCAAACTGCACAGCAAGAACCAAATAACAAGCAAACTGGTAATCTGCCAACAGCACATGATCAAAAAGTTCACCAGAAAGACATTAAGTTCAAAGCCCAGATGGACAATTCAGGCAAATACAGAGCCCTAAATCAGTTGAACAAAGAAAACAAGTGGAAAATGTAAGGCAAACTTTGTAGAGACGGCAATAACACACCAGAGAATTTTAATGAACAGAATAGCTCAAGAAGGTTAAATTTTCAAGAACGAAATTGACAGAGTGTTGATACAAAACATAGTAAAGCACTGTTGAATCAACTTTACAAGCCAACAATTTTATTTAGTATTTGTTATTGTTATTGTTTCTTATACTGATGTACTACAAAAAGTACATACAGTAATATGCGAAAAGAGGTCATCATTATTATTCTTTTAGCATTCTTATTTTCTGTATTTTTCAGACATTGGAAAAATTACTCGGAGGGAGTTGTAAAGAGTACAAAGATAAAAACCAAAAGCAAGAAAAAACCGTTTCAAGCGATTGCAGTAATGATGTCCTTATCGATTGTTGTCTAGTTTTGATTCCATGTTATTTGAAGCAGATACAATATTCTCCTGATTGAAAACTATTTAGTTTATTCACAAGCCAATAGGTCGACCTTTCGACCAAACAATTGGTTGAAGAGTTAGCAGATAGATGAAAACAAAGCATATGTGAGACTTTTCTTTCTTCTTGGTGCTTTCATTTTAACCTTTCTCACGGTCACACGTTTATTTTATAAATAATTAGACGTTCAACATATATATGTAATATATGTCAACACGTACGTGGATGTTTTTCAGGTGACACATAAAAGAAAGGAAAACTAATTTATACCTACGGCTGAAATAATGGATATACGCGTCGTATATCTCAAGACGAGGAAAGAATAGCAGATATTATGATACTATCATGTGCATTATACATCGACAAAGTATTTCATTTATACTTTGTGCAGTATAAATACTTAGAAAAATAGAACACTGTTTCCTGTTTTTTGATTTTTAGATTAAACCTATGCTTATTAACTACAAATAAAAACACCGGTATTTAAAATATAAATGCTAGGATTTCACGATATAAAAAAAACAGATAAAGAGGGATGGAATGATGCGGCTGTACTAATAAACTAAAAAAAAAATCCTAGTTAATAAATCTATATGTCTTAGCCATTTTAACCTTTGACTACACCAATTATACCACAAGCCAAACGTTTGCCAGCATGACCCGTGGTTTTACTATCATCATGACCACCTTTTCCCAAATCATCGGGGTCTTCATGCACGACAATACATCGGCCAACAATCGATTTCTCACCTAGAAAAAAATACAAAATTCCATGTGAAAGTGAAAATAACCAAAGTAGGATCCAAGTCAGGCACATACCATTGAGTTTAATAAATTTATCAGTAATATTCACGGTTACACTGTCGCCATTCTTCACCTCAACATTACCGAGATCGCCGACATGTCGATTTGAATCTTCTGGACCGCCCTATGAAAAAGAATATTTACTTATAGATTTACTAGTGGAACTATGTGAACAACTTACATGCTCCTTTTTATCCGGATTGAAGTGGGCTCCAGCTGACGTGCAACCTAAATGAAATGCACGATGACTCATTTCAACATAACGTTCTCTTGTCAATACACAAAAAGTCTCACAACCTAGTCTGGGATAATGGAGAAGATGAGTGGTGTTTTACCTGTTGTTGTATCACCAAATTCATGGATATGAAATCCATGTAAACCAGGTTTAAGTCCTTTTACTTCTCCAGTAACTGTAACCGTCCCGCTTTCATCTTGGACAAAATTTATTGTTCCATGTACTTGTGTAGTTTGCTGTTTATCTTTTCCAGCCTCTTTTGTTCCGTCCGCGGATTTGGGCGCTTGAGAAGCTGCATGAAATTGTTCGGTTTGTTGTAAATATTCTTCCGGTATTAAAACAGCTCGAGCGTGGATTGGCATTTTTTGTTTTCTGAAACAGATAGTCAAAATTCACTTTTTTTCTCGGTATAAATTTCTTTATTAGTAATAGGAACAAATTAGTTAAAACAAACAAAAATTTCACCTAATCTCAACTAAAGTAAACTGTCTAGTTAGTTTTTACTCTTAATGGTTATTAAATTTCATAAGCTACTGAGTAGTTGCATTATATGAACACAGTATTGTGTCGTATATAGCTTTAAAATACTGTAAAAGTTATTAAAAAGAGATTATCTTAATTATTTTTATTTATAGTTATTTTGCGACTTGTATGAGTCACGCACAGAGATCTCGAATCTTCTGCTTTTGGTAGAAAAATTCTAATTTTTAGAGCCTTTTCAGTCTCATTTCTGCTCTTTTTTGTTCTGGTATCATATGCCTTACACATGTCTTGCATATGAACAAGTGATATAGCAGTAAATAGTAGATAACAAAAAGTCGAAGAGAAAAATTGAATCCAAAACTTCAGCGAGTAATCTAACGAAAAATTTTCTGTTAAAGAAAACGCATAGCACTGCGCTAGTAAACATTGGAATGGTGGTTCACATTGTCAGATTTGCGGTTATCGTTCGGACTATTTCCATTTTTGGGATTGTATCTCTTATTGCCACATTTTACTCATATTGTCTGATTTCACAGTGAGATGTTATAAGTAAAATGAGAAGCAACTGCGAGTAGATGCACGAAGTCTAACATACCTCTTTCAGTATTTTCTTGTTGACCGTTTGGATATGAAAAATGAAATCTAAATAGTAGCGATTATATGACCGAAACTCGACAGGTAAAAAAAATGGAAAAAGAAAAACTCGTATGCCGTTTATGACCTCAACCTCTACTTTCGCACATGCAAAGAAAACTAATATAACAAACGTGCAGCCTATTGACTTTCAACGAAAAAAAGAAAGAAAGAAAGAAAGAACGAGGCATGACGAAAGAGAAAATTCACATTTTTTCTAATAGCACCCCCGGCAAAATATTTGGCGAAGAAATTATTCCAAATAAAGCAGGGGTGTTGATGGGATGGTTTGTCAAAAAGATTTTCGTTGCGCATCGCATGAGACGGATTTTTGAAAAATGGGATAAACTGAGACGAAAAATTTGTTAAATATCCATCATTTACAATGTGGAGAGATATCCCGATCGGGATATCTCTTTTTTACAGCAAAACTTTTTTTAATAGTCCGGACGAGATATAGTTTAAAATTATATCACGATATTTTAAAAGATGTAGCATTGAGATGTGATTTACTTATAAAAAACATAAGGCAGTTTATCTGCATGAATCAATAGTTAAACACAAAGCACGTGTACTTGTACATTGTCTATGTACCAGAAAAGAAATGTGTGTTTTAATATATGCGTTTATCGAAAAGGAAGAAATAGAAAAAGATGATCGATATCGAAGCGATTAGATCAAGAGTATATCCTATTCTGAGCAATCAAAGGCTAAGCGCCTATTTCCCGATCAGGATATAAATTCGGCTATTTATTACAAATTTGTGTTCGAAAAATAGTTACCCGGTACTATACAGACTTTTAATCAAATACAACAAAATCCGATGTAGTTTTTCGAGCTCTTTCTAATGGTGAGGTCAACTTTTTCTTATATATAGAGCCTATTGCCCTGAGAAAAAGCCTAAAAGAATTTGGGCCCATTTTGCTTCCTTCAAGAGTTACTGAATTTTTCCGTTTCGACGAGGAGCGTGATTCCTAACATTAAATTTTTTATAACTCTTAGATCACGAAATAGAAACGAGATAAGACGAATTGCTTAGGCAAAAACGAATAAGTATAACAGGTAAAGGGTCATCCACTATAACACCTCACGTGGCCATCCGTGTTGCACAGCCACGTGACTTGCAAAAATCCTTGCCAGCTCGCCATACCACTGATTCATGAACACTTTGACAGAAAAACTTATGAAAGAGAAGACACCAGCAATTCCGTAAAATACCGTCAGTCAGTAAGCTGGCAAGTTCAGATTAATCACACTACAAAGGGGTCTGCGAAATAAACCCGTGGTCAAAAAATGTTTTGACGGATGAATGGAATAAAGATTTTTAGCAATTCTTTTTTAATAAACTCTTAATTATGCTAAATAAAGTTCAGGGTGTTACAGCGAGAAAATACCATTTTGAGCACGGATTTTAGGTTGAAATGTGCACAGGTCGTGCTCAAAAAAATATTTGTCCTGTTACCGCATATATTGCGTATATTTTAAATTTTTATTTCCTATTTTGTCCTTTAAGTAACGGAATAAAGATTTTTAAGTTTTTCGTAATTAAGATAGTCAAGCGACGAAATATAATTTTCTAATAAATCTACGAGTTGTTTAATCACGAAGCGTTTCAATTTCTCTTTAACCAACAACAACAATAGGACAAAAGTTGAATGATTATTAAAGATCAGATCAGGGACTAATCAAACTCGAACATTTCAGGGAAAAGGGAGTTAAAAAATCCCAAAAAATGATTTATGGACACTAGTCATCACTTAAGAGAATCCAACTGTTTAAGCAGTAGATTAATATATTCTACCATATAACTAAAATTTCTAGAACTAGCCACTATCGCTAACATGAAACTAATAGAAAGTAGGGCTTGGTTGTAGAAATTTTTCCCTTGACTTTAATCTAAAGTCTTACAAAATGATTTCTGCCTACATGTGTGTGCGCGCAAAATACGGAAAAATCGCTGTCAGATATTCCATGGATAACCCTACAAAAAAATATTTTATCGGCACTGGTTGTGCACGGGTGCCGAATAATTTTTTTTCTGGGCACCGATGCGCATCGGTGCCAAAAAGAATGTAAAACTCTCGCACCGGTGCGCACCAGTACCGAAAATGTTTTCAATCACCATTTTGTTTTGTTAATTTCTGTCTATATTAACACCACAGTCTACTTCTAATATTTCGAATTTCTACCTGATTTCATCTTTTTCTTCTCATAAGAGAAGTGCTGGGGCAATGCCGCATGGTTTTGGCATGTCAATGTGGTACTGATCAGTGCCGCATTCTAATACAAATTGAGCATAAACAACTATAACAAAAACTAATTAAATTGATTAAATAAATTTCAGTGCGGCACTGATTTTTACCAGTGCGGCATTTTTTGGGCAGAAATATATCGGCACCGGTGCTCACGGGTGCCAATCGGCACTTGCTGGGTAGAGTCCTGCAGGTTACGACTTTTTGACAACCTATAACCTAACCTATAAAAATGTTCACAACCTAAATCTAACCTAACCTATTAATGTGTCCGTAATCCAACCTAGGTTAACCTAATACAACCTTTTGCAATTTTTTCCCAAAACCTGGTTTCAGAAGCCCAAACTTCAGCTTTGTTCCATATCGTTCGTTATTGCTTTTCATCTAAACACCATCTAAAAGGTAAGCTTATACAAAATAAATCACATTTTACATGAATATAGAAATAAAAAATTCTTTTCTAACCACGACAGCGAAAATAGTCAACGAGATGTCGGAAATATCTACTGATGCACAGAGAAAAAAAGATAAGCAAACCTTTTCTGCAGTCCTGGGATAGATGTCGCTAAAAATCAGTCAATTTTTATAACACAAAACGGTTGTCTATGGACCACAATAAAACTTACAGAATATAGATAATTTATCAGGCGAGTCGATTAGCAATGCTTCTAACCCCAATGGGATCTTCAGAGGGTATCCAGAAAAGCTTTTCGCTTTATATTACATTGGGCGCTTTTTCTGTGGAATCAGAGAATTCACAACATTTCTTGCCTATTCTGTCTCTGATTCAGGACTTCTCCGTCGATCGAAGGAAGGCGTGAGCATTGTGTCGAATTTAGAAATATGTTTAGGCCTCTGGGGATCCTCCGAGGGTCTCGAGAAACCCTTTTAGATCTACATTAGATTACGAACCTTACACATCAAATCAGAGAAATATTCATAACATATTGTAGATAGTTGTCTAGTAAACACTGACCGGAGGGAGGTGTGAGCGTTGTCTTCGTTTTAAAGTCATGAAAGGCCGTTCACAGATATAAGTTCCTAAAGTCAAGGGATCGAGCACAGACGAACGTTATCGTGTAGTTGTAGAATTTTTGACTATAGAACTAAAACATACAAGTACTACTTGCATAATGCCCATTGAAGTTCTACAAAACGTGGACCTCAATGACTCCATATCCTGTATGCCTTTGCAAACAGTTTAAACAAATATCAGCGTTCAAAAAAAAGAAATTCTGTTTTAATCTGCCTTAAAAGGATTGATAAATGTTTTAAAATAGAAAGAGAGGGCGCACCTATACGGGTTCGTTCTAGTCTGTATGAACAAAAATATTTTTTTTGCGATTGGCCAATTTCCTATGTACGATTTAATCTAACTTTAGAACTAGCGAGCAATGCTAGATTATCTTGAACATCACAGGCAAAGTAAAGGAAGTATCGAACAAAGACAGATTTTTGTTCTAAGTGGCTGCTGTTTGAAGTGAAGAGAAGTGAAGACACTGTATGCGGTTCATTGGGTTACTAAAGAAACTATGTCAGTGCAGAGTTCTCCTTTCTCAACCACCAGTTTTCTACACGTAATGCTGCTAAAATAGATGACAGGACTGGCTTCTTTCTAGAAGAACAAAAATGATAGTTACCGAGTTTAAGCTGAACCTAGACTGTGCAAATTGTCACTTCATCTGTGCTAAAATATTCGCGAAGAATTCAGTAACGTCTGTATTTTGTTCTAGATAGTCTAATATGTTTTTTGTTCATTTGTAAGGATGATGTTATCATTAATTCGTAGTATTAGTGTGCAATTATTAGAAAAAGATATTTCACGAATTATTGGAAACTTTAGACGGTAAGAGTATTATCTTGAATTTGACAGAAAACAGAATTGCGTTTTTAGTCCCAGTCAAATTTCTTTATTACTGTTGTGTATACACACCCTTCTAATAGTTTCTTTTTAAACTGTTATGTGCATGTTTAGATTACAGTCTTCATCAGTCAACGTTGCTTCGGACTCGACTGCTGAATATTCATCAACAGACTCTACAGTAGAAAAAGATGATTCTACGACTCGACAGACAAGTATCGGACGAGCAGCATGGAAAGAAAATGTGATTGAACAGCCCGTAGCAATGACACCTGCATATCTCGAAGAACACTATCGTGAACATAGAGAAGGAGGATTTTATTACGATCATCGAATTATTGTGCCAGAAATGCCTGAAAAATATACAGTCAAGCCATTCAAAACAATTAAAACGGGAGGAAATCATCCAGATACAGGTAAAAGGAAAGTTTTTTTCTAATTATAAGTAAAAAAAATAGTTTCAAGCAAATACTACATCCTCGCTCATAGAATTTTGTATGATTAGTTCTATCGTTCAAAGCTATTTACATCTCTTTTTATACATCTTTTTACTGAACGTAATGTCGATGTATCATATATTGATTTTGCATTTGATTTTCAGGTCGAAAAGAATTTCGTCGTGTTGGAGGTGGTTTGAAAAAGACTTGGTTGTGGGTGGATACAAAACGTCAAGGACCGGCCAGTGGTCCTCCATTAATTGAACGTGTTGTTCGAATTATAAACAGTGACTGTCATTCGGCTAAAGTAGCTCTAGTCGGATGTGGTAATACATTACATTATATATTTGCAACAGAAAATTTAAAAGTGGGAGATTTAATTAAAACATCAAGTGAAATACCAAAAAACCCAGGTTTGTTTCGTTCAAAAATACAGTATTTGTTAGTGAGAACGATGGTAAAAAGTATGATGAGGAGTGTTCAAAACTTAGGGCTGCATGGAAACTTCTATGTTGACTATCTCACCTCTTTTTAGTAAAATTCTTGTTTTTTCCTAGTGAAAGCCAGTGAAGGTGATGCCTTTCCAGTGGGAGCATTGCCTGCAGGCACAATGGTATGTTGCGTCGAAGATTATCCAGGTTGGGGTGCAAAATATGCGATGAACGCTGGCACGTACGCTATACTAATGAAGCATATCGATAACCGTTGTATTGTCCAACTGCCAACAAAACATGAGATATCAATCGATGAAAAATGCATGGTTACTGTAGGACGCATGTCAAATATTGAACATAATCAGTTTATTCGTGGGAAAGCGGGTGTTTCACGTCTGATGGGCATTCGACCAAAACTTGGCCTATTTCATTTGAAAACAGGACGATTTGGACGTCGACCTTTTCGACCCAAACCAATTTTAGTTATCACAGGTGAAAAACCAGATTGGCCGAATGTAATCAAACTGCAATCTCCAGATTTAAATTTTTATGAATAGGATTCTGTTTTTTGTTTTTTTTATAATAAATTTGTATTCTAGTGGGTTCTATGCAGTTTCCTTTTTTCTCTATCACATCTCCGACATGATGCGCTCACTGTGATATCGTATGCGGAACGAATAATGTACTCTTAGTCTTCTATTCATTTAATTATGGAATTACGATATTATTATTTATAGATTAGAAATGGATGATAAAATGGATGATTCTTGGGGAGCAAATAACTCGAGGGCGAATGTATCTGAAATGGATATTTCGCCAGCTCTGACTCCAAATACGGCAATATTTCCGGACAATAATTTCGAATTACCGGAGGCAGCCTTGTGTAAAGTATTAGATCTAACAAGCGTGAACAAACCATCTAGAACTCTCGAATCTCATCCGAAATATGGTATGTACTAGAACGTGTAAGGGAAAAATAGAAAGATGTTCTACTACTAAGTCTTTTCGAGTGAAATTCTTTTTTCTAATTCTTTTCGAGTGATGAGAAGTGTTTTCTTTTCTGCTTGTTTACTTGATTCAGCACGGTATTTCTATCCGTCTCGACTTTACCGTTCCCAAGAACAATCATGGCATCTATTTTTGTTTCAAACTATATTCGATTATCTTGATTTAAATCTAAAGGGACGAAATTGAAATATAAGCTTAGGGAGGTTCCAGAGCCAAATAAGACTTTGTGAGCTCTCTAATTAGCGAAAAATCATTTTTTTAAATTCATGTTTATCAAGTTAAGTTAACATTGACGAGACAACATGCAGACGCCTAGACTAGACATAGACGAGGCCAAGGTTTTTCAGTTCCGGGCCCGTAAAGTGGTTTCGATCCGTCGTACCGGTCCCGGAAATTTTTCAGCCTCGGTCCCGTTAAAAACAAAATTTTCGTTCCGATCCCGGGAATTTTTTATGCGCCGGAGAAAATACTTTATTATTAAAGTTTGCATGACGTAGATGTGAAGTTCAATACCTAGGAAAGAACTGTAAGACTTATGAAATTTGTTGGTAGAGCAGTTGGAAATAACTATAAATAAACTATTAAATAAATAATAATAAATAGCCTGGGAACAAGATTGGAAACGCAGAACCATAAAAGAGAGTATTCTAACACAGGAGAAGTTAGGAAAAGCAATAAATGACACAGATCACATATTGCAGGTGTTCGCCTAACCCCATTAGGGTAGTTTCGCGACCGAAAAAACTCATCAGTTCGTAGCGACTGATGAGTTTAAAAAAAAACGTGCAGCTGTGCCAACTACAGGTTCTCCTTGAGTTATTTCTCTTTTTCTGTTCTATCCTTCTTATCTATTCGCTTCTTTTTATACCATCGTTTGTTCGAATGTCTATTACATTCCTGATGATGCCAACTGAAAGCTGGCGAAAGCTCGAATAAAGTATTTTCAAGACTGAAAGTCATGTTATTCATAGCAGTTCTATATTCGATTTACAAATAACTGACTTGACGATTTTCCACGACGTTTCTATTTTAGTATATAGAACAGGTCAAGTTGATTTATGCAACTGTCGAAACACATCTTAGTTCTAGTGTTGGTCCCGATTCGGTCTCGGAAAAAAAGTTGTGGTCCCGGTCCCATCAATGTCTAGCCTAGACCCATGTAAGAACCAAGAGAAAAGAATCAGCACTAGAATTATTATAATGGTATATGGTTTACAATAGTAGGATGTTGTCTTGTCACTTGATATCCCGTATTAAAATGTCCTACTAATGTTACGGTTAACCCAAAAACTTGAAAAGTTCATACATATGACTTAGTTTTTCATTTTGAAACTAAAATCCATGTTTTGAAAAAATTTACACTTAGCCTAAGCCAATTTAGAATTATCCTATAACATAGATGTTCCAAGTTTAAGTAATATTGATTTAACTTGATAAACATGAATTAAAAACAAATAATTTTTCGCTAATTAGAAAGCCCATAAAAGTTTGAACATATAAAGTCTTATTCGGCTTACCTATCTGAAATTTTTTTAAGCTTATATTTCAGTTTTGTCACTTTAGATTTTCGCTGCGTTTGCTATTTTCGCTTTCTAAGCATACCGTTTTGAGCATATTGTATTTGGTAATTTCAATGCTAGTTTCAATCGTTCTTAACGTCTTACTATTAATAATAGCGGATAGCCAGTTTAGTAAAATGAACAAGCTGTTGTGTTAGGGATACGAGAATATGCGCCGGTTATTATAACTAACGATTTATTGTTGTGTAGTTTCGAGATGATAAGTCACGATAATTTTTAGATGTCAGTCTTCTACAAAGAAAATTAGGCGTTAAATAAATTAGAAGCATTTATTTTCACAGATACCCTTCGTATTTTCTGTCAGAAGAACGAAGTGGTATTAAAAACGAATGTAAATAAGAGGAAACAAATTATTTGTTCTTTTCTGTTGTAAGTATGAATTGACCGACATTGCGGTCAAAATATGAATTGGTCACACATATTCACATGGGTATACGTGAGTAGCTGAAAACAATGAACGGAAGAAAAACATTTTTTTCCTCACGAAAAATGTTTTTTGTTCATTACGACAAATATTTGATTGTATAACTAGACAAATTCTTAACGGGTGTTCCATAACAAATGGCATTGTTTGTATTTTTCGCTTTTCTCTGTCAGTTTTGATAGTTGAGATTTGAACTTTTTCACAAAAGATAGCGCATTCAATTCTGGTCGAATTAGATGATGAGGGGCTAATGTCCATTTTTCTTGAAAACTTGCTTGGATTAAATGAAGGTTTCCATCTCGCACTCTCTCTATTGTATAAATTTTATTTTACACCTGCTTGGTCTTTTCAGGATGATAAAAGAAGCATTTTTCTTCAGATTGGTAAAGACTTGGCCATAGGAATTACATTTTGATTCAACTAAATCGTAGTTGGGAACAAGTTCAGCAGTAAATTCGAAAAGACCAAAAAGGAAGGCGATCTTCATGCTAGTTTAAGCATCGGAATTTTTCAATTGTAACTCGTCTTATAGAGCTTTTCTAGGGCTACAGAATACAGTCAGTTTGAAAATGTACCTTTTCGAGGGCATGTCTGTGTTGACTGCATAGGATTTCATGATTGTATTTTACAGGAACTCTTTTCGGATGATTTTGTAGAGAATTGAATGGGCTATCTCTGGAAAAAAGTTCAAGTCTCAACTATCAGAATTGACAGAGAAAAGCGAAAAATAGAAGTGCCATTCTTTATGAAACACCTGTTAGTTGAGTCAATTTTTTTCAGTCTATTTCAATTTATGAGTTTTGAGTCGCCGTTGAACACCGTTGATGTGATTCACAGATCAGATCGCTATTAAATACATAGAAAACTAATATTAGAGAAACGTAACTCCTTGAGATGTGAATTTAGGCAGATTTGTGATAATGCATTAGACATAATGAGCTCAAAGATCTATATCATGATTTTAGTAGAATATATGTGTTCTTATTTTAGAGCCAACAAATTCTGGTCAGTTTCAGAATTACATCGCATCTACGCCACGAGCAGACACCGATCGATCTACAGTTGATTACAGTTTGATGTCATCACCATTTTGTGAACATCCACAACAGATTAAACACCGTAAAACGGTACCTGAATATGAACCAGAAACAACAAAAATTACAGAAATCGCTGAAAAACCGATGATGACTGTTCGTCCAAAACGAACAAGTTTATTTCGTTCATTCATATTCTGCATTCCATTCCTATTTATTTTTGTTTTCATTGGACAACATGTGATGCAACAAGAAAAGTCCATTGACCAATCATTAATATGGAAAAATACAACTGATTATATTCGACGAGTCGTCGTTGGGCAAGATGTTAGTTTGAACAAATTAATAACAATAATTCATAGACATAGTCAACATGACAATAGTTTTACACATGTTCTTATTCAAGTGAGTGCGTCTAAATGTTCCCTGATATATTAATTGTTAGATCTTGATGTCTCCAAATTAAAGAAAATTTATCATATTTATCGTTCGTCCATTCAAATATTCATAGTGTTCCTGAAGATTTGGAAAACTACTAGCCTCCTTTTCTCTTCAAGTTTCTGTAAAATTAAATGCATTTTTTTCGTTTTCTAAATGACCTTGTTCAAAACAAATCTAATTGAGGAAGATATTTTACCGCTTCGCTGTTTTAGGGTCCCACCGGAACTGGGAAATCGTATTTGGCTAATACCTTTACCAAATTTCTTCCAACTACTATTATATCTGTGAATGATTTATTATTACTAACACCATCAAAAAAGCAAAATTCCAATTTAAAATCTGATTATTTACTATCGTATTTACTATCAAATTTACCATCTACATCAGCACATATCGTTTTAATTATTGATGATCTGGACTTATTCACAACTAGTGAACAATGTTTGAATCTAGCCAAAGCTATTCGGTTATTAACAAAACATTATGACGATAATGAAAACGAAGAAGAAACCAGTTTATTTATCATGTTTATTATGACGAAAACAGCAATATCTGCAGATGGACGTGAGTAAGTATTTGATTCATGTCAGAAGTATTCAAATCTCTGACAAAGTTACTATTGACATTTTTTTATGTAAGATTTCTTCTTTATATTTTGTCCGCAGAAAAGTTTTTGTATTCAAATTTTTCTATTCAAGACATGGTCAGCAAGCAATAGATGAGAAAAATGAACAATGTCATTATTATTTAAAACAAGAATTATCAACATTAGAAACAATTGAATTTGAATTATTAAAACGTGAACATATTCAAAAATGTATTGAAACACAATCTTATATTCAAAATTTACATTTGAATGATCATCAAATTAATTCCATTTTGAATTCACTACCATACATAACTAAAGATAATATTTTCTATAGTCAGACTGGTTGTAAACAAATTCCTGCCTATCTTTTAATGCAATCAAATAGAACGATGAAACAATAAGACTATCTATTTTTTATTTTAACCTTTAATTTAGTGCAATGTATAGAATCATCTTTTCTTTTGTGTCAGATTTTAATGTCAGATGTTTTTTTCTTCTTTGATCAGATTTCTTTTTTAATCAAGAAAACTTGTCGCTATATTATAGAGGACGGGGCATGTTTTCTGCAAGAGGATGGCTCTATATATTTTTGAGAAGATAACAACTGGAACTGATCACAAACTGTTCGTTATTTGGTTTTTAATATTTCTGCACCTTAAAACTTGATTGTAGACTACCATATGCTGGAATTTTTAAT